GTTGGATTCTGACACAGAAGATCAACAATTACTGGTAATCCGACAGGTTGACTGGAAAACAGATTCAAGTTGCATGGTAAGTCATACATTTACAAAATCTGAGTCCTTGCTAATACAGCCAACTGAAAGTACTCCTATCGGATATTTTCGCCTTTTCCTCACTGAAGTATTTCTGGAAAAAATAGTCGAAGAAACAAATCGTTACGCATTAGAAATACAAAATAGCGATAAAACGAAAGAAAAGTCACGAATAACGCTTTGAAAAGATTTAAAAGTGGATGAATTTTTAGTTTTTTTGGGAGCATTCTTGCAAATGGGGACAGTAAGAATGAATAGACTTCAGGACTACTGGAAGAAGGACCCATTATTTCATAATGCAGGCATTGCAAATAGCATTAGCCGAAATTGGTTTTTATCAATTTTACGTGCATTACATTTTGCAAAAATAGTGAACCTGGAGAACCTCAACCTACAGACAGGTTATATAAAATACCCCTGTTATCGATTTTTTTTAACGAAAGAATGTGCGAGATATATTATCCTAATAGAGAACTTTCTTTGGATGAATCTATGGTTCTCTGGCGAGGTAGATTATTGTTTCGCCAATACATAAAGAATAAAAGACATAAGTACGGTATAAAACTTTATATTTTGAGCACATCAAGTGGAATAGTGCAAAAGATTGCCATGTATATGGTTTATTAGATGACTATGGAGGGCAAAACCATACACAAAAAATTGTTTGCATTTACTGAATGAAAAATTAAATGTCGGTCACCATGTTTTCATGGACAATTATTATAATAGCTTTGACTTGGCCAAGTTACTGTTAGATAAAAAGACACACTGCACAGGCACATTGAGAACCACTCGAAAAAACACTCCAAAGAATGTTCAAACTACTAAATTGCGAAAAGGCGATACTATTGAAAGGTATTGTCAGGGAGTAATGATCGGAAAATGGAAAGATAAGCGTGAAGTGTCTTATATTTCTACGGAATACAAAAATGAAATGGGTTGACATTTTAAATAAACGAAATGAAATAAAGCAGAAGCCTCTGCCAATCATCAAATATAATGCGTTGTAGATCGGCAAGATCAAATGCTGTCATATATCTCTCGGAGAGAAAATCACTACGCTGGTATAAAAATTGTTCTTTCATACTATTGAAGTAATGCTAATGAATTCACATGCTCTTTATAATAAATATTCCGGAAAAAAAAAATATCACTTTACGAGTACCGACCCTGAACGTTGTAAAATCACTTTTGCCATCAACAGACGAACAAAAGCCGACGACTCCCAAGAATCTCAGACATACTCTTCAGAAAAGAGAACTTGCACCTGGTAAAACCAAAATACAAAGAAAAAGGTGTACATCTGTTCCTCTCAAGGCCAAACGCACGGACACTACGTATGAGTGCCGTGACTGTCCCGACAAGCCCAGGATTTGCTGTGAAATAACCATAAGTGATAATATATTTATGCAGTACTGTTCTACACTGACATTTGTTTGTAATAAGTTTTAATTTTTTTTTTTCATTTTCTAGTATGTTGTTTTATGTATATTATACAATATTTGTTACATTTATATATCTTACATTTACATTTATACATATTTATGTTTTACTGTTACATTTTGATAATTTTTCATAAATTTCACCTTCTCTTTATCCAATTAAACGTTTATTTCTTTTAAACTGTGACTTTATATAATGTGTCAATAATTTCGCAGCAGAAAAATGATGAGACGCGCCAGACCATCAGTGGCATACAGATAATAAGTTGAACGTGAGGTGCCACTGACGCTCTAGAGCGTCCGAAATTTTTTTACACTAAACACGAAAATAAAAGGTTTTTCTTTTTTTCTGGCTTTACTAATAAAATATTAGGAACGTTTTTAATCATTAAAACACTTTTTTTAAATTCGGCTTCTGAGGATGGATATATAAATTTTGGTGGCAGCGAATGTGTTAAACCTGGTAAGATGGCATGCAGAAATTATAAAATTAAAAATATGAAACCGTAATTTATGAAATAAAGAGCAGTTATGATCTAAAGGGTATCAAAATTTATATATATATATAAAAAAGCTCAATATTTATTTGTTTACTTTATTAAACATTTCTTTCAACGTGCGCATGCATAAAGCATACATTACACATAGGCAAAATTTGAAAATTTCAACCAGAAAACTATTTGATGTGTATTCGTGATATTTATACTTACGAGAAATTTCATTTAAATCATATCAAAGACGGAGTACATCGAGGTGAAATAGAATTACACAAATTTGCTTTTTATGAATAGAGAATGTTTATTAAATTCAAATATATGTGTACAGGGTATGCTTTAAATTCGTGTTATATAATTTTCAAAATTTTTTGCAACGAAAATTTAAATAAATAGATAAAAATATTTTAAATAATATTTTTTAAAATAAACAGATAATATAAATTTTAATAAAACATTATATTTAATACATATAATAATAGAAATAAATTATAAAACATGAATATAGATCAAATTGGAACAAAAAGCTAACAAGGTCGCAGACAGGGTGGAAAAAGCATATGGGATTCGAATTTACGATCCCAAAAGTCAAAACTTCTTACTGCAGCCTTACCATTAAGTTGAAACAAAAAAGCACGAAATGTTTAGCATCACACAGGAATGGTATGCATATTTTGGCTTATATATATCATACATCATTAAGTAAATCAATTCTTAAAACTAAATTTTGTCTTATTTCAGTGTGCTATCGTCTAAAAAGTTATCCAGAGTTTGTTCTTCAGCTTCTAGTACATTTCTTACAAAAAACAATATATTTTAAAGGTTGAGTTCTGATTGAACTTAAACAGGCTGCTAAAAATATATTTCACGTGCTTACAAATATAGCCAAAAAGGTATATTTATAAATATAGAAATACAGATTTAACATAATCTTTAATGAAGTGGAATATTTAAAAGGCTATCAAATTTAATTTATAATTAATGTTTTTAGTTTTTACCTGTTTAGAAAAAAATCTTTTAATGCCATATCTGGTTTGCTATAGCAGTTTGATACAGACATTCATTTTCATTACAGGTAAATCTGTATGCAGAACTAGGAAATAATTGTCAGGAAAAATTTTGCTATTTCATCAACTTGGAACTGCAACTCGTCGGCCAAGCATGTCCCACACGTGCTCTACTGGATTCAAGTCCGGTGAGAACGCTGGCAAGTCCATACAGGTGATATCCTTCAATTGAAGGCATTCGCTTACGATGTTTGCACGGTGAGGACGGGCGTTGTCATCCATAAAACACAATTGTGTGCCCATGGCGCCCCGAAACAAATGTACATGTTGTTCCAGAATGACGTCCCGATAGATATGGCTTGTCATGATTCCAATTTGAACATGAAGGTCAGTTCTGGAACCCAGAATAATTCCACCACCCCAAACGAGCACTCCTGCACCACCTGTAACGGTGTCGTTCAATGATGCTTTCTTGGTGGATAACGAATACCTGGAGCTCTTCCATATGAAAGTCCGGCGAGAATCAGACTGCAAGCTAAACCTGGACTCGTCGGAAAACATCACACAAGCCCAATGTTGCGGTGTCCACAGTGCATGCTCTCTACTCCAGGCTAACCGCAGCAGGCGACAGTGAGTTGCAGTAAGTGGAACGCATCTGACAGGTCTACGAAGCATATAAACCAATCTGCCCTAAGCATCTGTACACGGTCTGCCTTGAAATTGTCGTACCAGTGGCTGAAGAGAGCTGACGAGGACAGGTCTGAGGCTGTGCTCCACCTGTTTCTTTTTGGCAGTAACTGCCTAAATACCGGTCCTCATTCGGGGTTGTAAATCTGGGGCGACCTGTGCTGTAATGTCTACTCACATTACCATCATCTTGGAATCGTTGCCAAAGCCTGGAGATGACACTCTGGGCAATTCCAAGTTCGTCTGATACTTCCAGTTGAGTACGCCCACATTCCAGACGGCCGATAATTCTGCCACGTAAAAAAATCATCCAAATGCGTCCTTTGTGTCATAACTATTCGGTTATTGCACTGAAATTCTTATAAAGCGCCTGTGAACAATTTTACTTCTTTGCCTGTATTCCTTATACATCACTCTCTTACACTCTCGTCATTGTGACGTACCATCGGTGTCATCTGGTTACTTCCTGAAATTTGCATATGATTCTTGAAGATGTGTGTAGTGATTTTACAGGTGATATATTTATTTTAGAGTTAGATTTCCGCGTGACTCCGAATTATTCTTAATTTATGGACATGAGTGTAGACCATGAAAACAAATGTACACAACTTTCAGAAGTTTTTTTTTTACTCATACACTCACAAAAATGCATTTTATGCCTGCAAGTCAACTAAAGCAATTTTTCAGAAAAAATAACAATTCCTTTGTTACAACTCGCTCAAATCTACAATCATGATTATCAGCTTTGAAGACAAATTTTAGCTGCCATATTTTATATACTCAATACCAAAGGTTTAAAAAATTTCATTAATTCACCAACTTCAGGAATTTCTGTTTACTCTTTGGCATTTTTGGTGTTTGACTAGAAAAAAAGATACATATAACTTATATTAAAAAAGAGAGGAAGTGTAATTTTTGTTCATAATTCAGAAAGCAATTTATTACTAGTTTTACAGGGTACTTTGTAATAGTTCATAAAAACATGATTCCATTCTTTTTTATTTTTTTTTTTAATTATGACCAGTCTGAATGCATAGAACAAGAGAGATACACGAGCTATATACTTTTCAAATCGCAATGAAAAAAATTCGTTTATGAAAGATTTCTGAATATTACTTTTAAATGTAACAAGAGAAAATGCACAATAATATGTGAAACAATTTTTGAACGCACAGAAATCAAGATGTTGAATTCCCTATAATTACACAATTAAATCTGGGAGGATGTCATTTAACCTGTCAAATCCAAAACTTCAATTCAAAAATAAAAGTATCTTACTAAATTCAACCTACCTCCACATTCTTCAATTTGGCTTGCTATAGAATAAAACTGAGAACCTGCTAATTTTAGAATATTGTTAATACCATCCAAAACGACCTGTACTACTTGAGGATCCCGGACAGTAAGAAGGTTACAAAGGGGTGGAATAACTCTCTGACAGACTAAATAAGCTACTTGTGCTTTAGTACCACTGATGGTTAGATTACTAATAGCCCATGCTGCTTCTTTCTGTGTCTGAAATTCTCCCTAAAAAAGAATTTATCAATTATACCAGGGTTCATAGCCACATTTTAGTTAAAAAAATAAGCACCTATAAGCACTTTTCAAGCACATTTTAAGGAAAAATTAAGCACCTGTCTAATTACATTATACACAACTGCATAACCTTAAAAGAAAAATTAGACTTGTAATTTAAAATATGAGCAATGCAATATTTATTACGAGTATGAGCATTACCTCAACAATGGAAAACAACTTTTTTTTTTAAATTTTACATGACAGTTCAATCTACAGAATTAGTTTACAATGAGTGAAAAAAACTATGCAGAACTAAACTATATTACAAAATTTAATGATGATATTTCAGTTGAAAATATAGAAAATAAATAATAATAAGCCATATTAACTGTATTCGTTTGCCACCTAATAATGAATACAATTTATTTTTCCACTCATATTAATATTTAAATAATTTAAAACTTAATCAAAATTCTGAACATTTTCTTTTCTAAATTTTCATTCCATAACAGTTTTCCCTTACATATATCCCAAACAAAGTAATTTAAGTAAAAAAGAAGCACATTTCTAAAATCAGAAGACGGGAAATTGCTTCATGCAGTCATCCTTTAACAGTAAAAGCTTAACTAACTCACATACTCGGAAATTCCTGAACATTCCGGATAGTAACTGGAAAAAGAGGAGTGGGTGGAGACTGTAGCCGTTCTTTAGATTTAAATTTAGGCTAAATAAATGATTTTGACATTTCGATATGTGCATCATATAAAAACCAACGGAACTGAGAAATATTCTGCTTAGAAAGCACAGTAAAACTCTTTTAAGTGTTCATAAACAAATCTCAGATTGAACATCAAAATTAATTATCAATGCAAAATACTGCAAATGTTATTGTGCAATACGTGCGGCGTAATTCTTCCATATGTGATATTACGCAATCGGAATCAACACCTGCCGGCATTCGGAGAATAAAGAACTAAATAAAGGAAAAGAAAGAGACTTACTAATCTGGGGTGTTCCTGATTCTAATTTTCAACAGACTGTATTAAATTTCCGGAACAGAATCAATCTTCGGTTGGGTTGGGTAGACCGCAAAACTTTTAGTCCTATTCAATCCAGATTGGACAGTGACAAAAAAAAGTCCGCTGCTTCAATATTAGAGATTTTGAGAGAAACTCCCAAACCTCATACTGTATAATGTATTGGCAAAGAAAATGAATTATTTTTGACTATTCGATTACTTCCTTTATTTAAGCCATTCCGAATATTATTCCTTAGAAAGCTAATCTGTGTAAAAACACACCCATTTTTGGAAGTTTATCTATACTTCAGCAGTTACTTCAACTATATTATTATAAATATTCATACATATGCTCATAATATAAGCATAACGATCACAATAAACACGAATATGAACTGACCACGCGGAACGAGAATGCAAATTATTAAAATCTTGATAGAAATTCAAACGTGTGTAATATTTGGGTAGGAGGAAAAGAATACCAAATGTACCGGAATTTTCTACTTTCGCAATTCTTTGGCCAATAGAACAACGTGCACCTGTCTGTACTCTCGCGCGGACCATAGGTTACGTTAATGCAGAGGAAGGGGGGGAAAGCAATTTCCGGAAGTATGATTCACCATCTGACGTTGCATATAAGGAAGAAAAGTTGTTTATTTAGTTTCGACTTTGGTACGGGGGAAAAATGCGCGTTCATTAAAAACAAAGAATTAAAAAAAAAAAAGCAAAAAGAAAATAAAAAAAAAAAAATAAGGGCTTTAAAGGAAAAGTAAGCACCTATAAGGGCCTTTATATTTTATTTTCAAATATAAGGACTTATAAGCACTTGTAAGGACTGCTACGAACCCTGTATACACTGTTCCACGTTTATAAATATATACACACACACACAGTGTCTACAAAGGTCCTTATTTGGCCTTGTCAACCATTGGCCATAGTTATGCAAATATTCATGTTGTTTAATTTTTTTAATTAAAAAAAAGTTTCATAAAAACTATGAAATCAAATTTTACATGTTGCCCATATATTGGAAGGAAAAAAAGATAAATGTACAATCTATATATATAAAGAAGAAAGCCTGTGTGTTTGTTTGCTAATAACTCAGTCACTACTCTATAACAATATGCAAGTTTTCAAGGACTAAAAATACATTATTAATATTCTAATGACATATTATTCCTTTAGAATTGTGATCTGGTAGCCATAAAAAAAATTCACGGAACTATGATTTTTTTTTCTTCCTTTTATGTTGTTGTTGTTGTCTTGTCAAAGATGTCAGTGCAGAGGAGTCAAATAGGGCCAAAAGTATTCAGAACAGCTGCAGCAACATCAATAATTTTCGAAGAATAGAGGAGTTGGTGGGAGGGAGATATATCAATGCTGAAGAGCTTGGCCAAAATAGCAGGATAGTCGAAGAGATGGTTTGGAGAAAGTTTGATATCAATACAGGCAGGACAGGCTTTTATAATTCCGTTGACCATCAGACGATACCTTCATTCCTTTCAAGTGTTTTCTCCTCAGTCTGGCTATGGTAGTGGAAATGACATGGTTACAATTTAGAGCAGGGATGGGATTCTTGATTGATTGGGAGGTAAGTCTTTGGCTGGCTACAGCATCAGCATCGGTAAGAGTTAAGCTGTTGGAAAGTTGAGAACTATTTCGGGTGTCTTTGGTAAGGCCATCAAACTGCTTATTTCCGTAAATATCAAGATGTGCTGGTATCCACTTTAGTGTGCAGGTTCTTTGGGCTGCAGTAGTTTTGTTCATGAACATGATAATGTCCTGGGTAAGTTGAGTGTTGGCCCTCTGGATGGCTTGGCCACACAGATTTAGAATCGCAGAATAATAAGAGGCTACTGGAGTTCTGGATTGCCTTGGAATGGTAGATATCTAAAGCCTTTTTAAAACCACAAGCTCACAGATGTAATTTGAGACAATTTTAGCTACAAGTATTTTATGGGATTCAGATTCATCATTAGCATGAATGAAATAGCTGTCAACGCCACCCTTGTCGAGATCTGAGTCGCCCTGTAGGGGTTACAGGCTCCCCTGAGTGTTTTTCTTTTATAATTAATGCAAATAATTTTGTTAGCTATGCGCCAATTCTGAAGTATCCATCTCTCTTAACATCATGAACATTTTCCTAAACCGATAATTATTTATAATTATGTAAATTTTGCTCTTCAATTTTTGTATGAACCTTAAATATGAACAACTTCAATATCAAATATCTTGGATAAATTTAGTCATATCGCAGGCATGCTTGCGTTTTATTTTTTATAATGATCACAAAGTTTTTCAATATAAGTACAGATGGATGTATACAAAGTTAGATTTTGTAATTTCCACAAAACTGATTTCTTTAACTTAAATGTGAAAACATGAATATTTGCATCATATAAAAGACTTCTGTTACTGGAAGTATACATCTACCACCACCAGTTGTGAAAATAAAAGCCAGGTAAGAACTTTTGGATGTACAACACACTCACACACACGAAAGCATAACTGCACAACGCTGAAACAGAGAACAATAAAAAAATTTTAACACAATATAATAAAAGTAACCAATTTCAGCTTTAAGCTACACCAATATTCAACTAACTCACTTTCTGAAAAAATGACCTTATTAATTTTTAAAAATCTTCAATGTACATAATACATATATGTGGCGAATAATTTAATTTCTATCTAATTATACTATGATATTTTGCAAAGCATTTTTCATTTTGTAAAGCCTAATGATATTCTTGAAGAATGTGTAGCATTATATGAAATCAATCAATCAACATCTTGTTTTGTAATGTAGCTGTTGTGTTAAAGATAAAATTCACACTCTACTTTAAATTGAGACAAAGATTTTAAACAAAAGTGTCAAAATCCAAACCATATCTATTTACTGGTTGAGGGAAAGCATTCCATGGCTACCGTAGATTAATCAAAATTTGGCAAAAAGTATACAAGAGATTCTGATATGCGCTACATTTTAAGACAATGTGACAAAAGAACTCTTTCATAGAAGATAACAGAAATGATAAAATAATGATTAAATACAATAATCTACAAACTAAACTACCTTCTGAAGAAAAAACATAGAGGAACTTCTGTTGTCACGATTAAGACAAATTTTAGCCCCACAAGAGCACAGATACAAAAAATACTTCTGCCTATCAAATTGAGTATTATGATCAGTAAGGACTCAAAGTTTTAGAACAATTTCACAAAATTTATAATAAAATTCTAGGATGTATTGTTCTAGGATGTATTGGATGTATTCTAGGATGTATTGTGCATTAAGTAGTCTATTACTATTTCTGTAGCAAGTTAGCGGAAACGAAATTTACATATTGCGTACCTTCAGATAGTTTTATGATGATAATGGAATTTGCAAACAGAGAATTGATGGATTCATATTAATAAGAATCAGTTACTTTGATCCTAAAATGAGCTCATGTAGAGTTTCAAAGAATCTGATGCATAACTATTTGTATTAACACGTTGACTGCCACAAGCATTTTACATGGTTTACCCATGGCACCAACATGAATTTTTTATTATGCGATATGCATTATGTTGAAATATTATCTATTGAAATCATTTAATATTTATTTGTTTACTTTATTAAACATTTCTTTCAATGTAAGTTGCTTAAGTTGCTTCGTTTTTTTATGTAATAATACATTCTCTTTAATTCTATAAACAGACATAATTTCTTGTTCAGTTAAAAAGTTCCGCTGTTCAAGTCCGCAAGTAATTGCTGTGTCGAGAATACCGACTAATTTGTCAATCGAAATTTTTTCGTTTTCAATAACCTCTGTCACTTTCTTTGCTATCGGAAGCGAATTACAATGATGAGGCATTTGATTTAAATCATATCAAAGACAGAGTACATCAAGATGAAATACTACATTGAGTAAGCAATTATAAGCCAAATAAAATAAAACATCTGCCCTTAAGATAAGGATAGTGCTGACAGATCAACTTCCAATTCATTGCAGGCCGCCGTGGCGTTAAAGATAAACAAAGTTTAGATAAACAAACGTTAAAGTTTAAATCAGCAAAGGATATGCCTTTATCCATTTTTTGCAGCAATTCCACTTTTTGTTAAATGGACTCAGAAAGATACTTTCGCTTTGTATATCCTTTACATATTAGTAAATATATATCGGAAATTCTATTTGACATAATCGAAAGTTCAAGCTTACTTTTATAAAATTGCTCTAACAGTCTGCAAAAAATAATAATCCGGATCCAATTCGAAGATTAAAGAACAAAGCATAGCTTAGCTTATCCCGTCCGTTATACATTAAACGCGCATTCGTAAACGTATCTTGCGCACGCACACACGCAAATTCGCAGCGGTAAAGGTCTTACGCGCAAGCGTCAACGCAACGCATGCGCAGAAAGTTTTTAGCTTTGAGGTCCGGATTATGGGTGTCCGAATTAACGACTTTTGACTGTAGTAACAATGGAATTATTCAAAAACTTATCAGCATCGATATTTACTCTAAATATGCATTTTTATTGTTGGTCACATCTCTGGTCACCAGTGGCCCCCATGGTGATGTGGCCTTTTCTTTTACATTCAGACAAATTATTCAAACTAAAATCTCATGAAAAAAACTAAAAATAATATTTAAAAATAAATGCTACTTCTTGTTACTTGTTTAATCACAAATCCTACTAACTCAAAATTGAAAATGTGGCTTACTTGCTGAGTTTACAATTTGCATTATTTAAGACAGCCCCCTCCCCAAGTTACTGACAGCTTTCCAAAGTTGATCATTCTTTTTTACAATCTTTACTTCTAACACAATATGGATGGCCTCAGAATACTGATTTATTTTGTTACTATTCTTCATGCTATAACCAATAAATTCTCATTTTTACAATGGAGTTTGTGAAATTTTATACCTGCTTGGAAGACTAAAAGCTTGAATTTTAGAAATAATTTTCTAGAATACAGAAGAAATGTTACTTATTCGTCATTTTTCTTTCATTTTCACATCACAGCAGATCAGCACTTACTACTGACACACAGCTGCTACAGGCTTTTAGCACAGTACTGAAGGTATGATCACTCAATCAAATTTTTGTGTCACTGTACAAGTAAGACTCAGCGGAACTTTTTAACTGAACAAGAAATTATGTCTGTTTATAGAATTAAAGAGAATGTATTATTACATAAAAAACGAAGCAACTTAAACAACTTACATTGAAAGAAATGTTTAATAAAGTAAACAAATAAATATATATAGATTTTATATATAGAGTATGCCGATTTTAGAAATGCACTCAATTTTTTTGTCAGATGGTTTTTAACTGACACTATTTGTTAAAATGATCTATTTGGTTGCTTACTAAAAATGTGTGGGAACAATGAAGATTATATGACTAAGTTTATTACTATTTAAGTTAATACTGATTTTTATATTTGTATTTTGTTTTCAAACTTCTGACTTTATACACCACTTAACGGTTTCAAGTAATTATAACTTCGAATCATGCTGCAGTACTTAATAATGCAAGCGAAATATCATCAGAACCTGCATCCTGTCGTCCAGTGTTAAAATAATATATGAATAATTAAAACTCTTTCTGGAAAAGATCCTGTATGAGAAACAAAGAACAGATTGGTAATTTTTAAATTGCTATTGTCTTTGGGTTTAAACTGGACTAAGCAAAATATTGCTGTTTGCTTTTCAGGTAGCACAGCAAAGAAAAATCAAATTCTTTAAAAATACTAATCAAATTTAGCACCAGTATAACTCAGAATATATTTACTGTCATCGAATTTACCGGCACTTATGCCTAGAAGAGAGCAGAACAAAAGGACAAGGAAATGGCTCAACACCACCTTGGGTCAAAAACCGTAGAAATCAAATTCAAGTATAACACTGGCAACAATAAATGTGTGTGATGTATAATTTGCAACAATTACTGTGGCCACAAAAGTTATTAAAGATGAAATTACAGGCATGTTAATACATTCTGTTTTTGTAAATAAACTCGAGCACAATAAACTGTTGTCACAATTTGATTGTTGGCATAAACGAAAAAAAAATTCCTGCACAGAGTCTTTAGCATTATTAAATTAAACTAAATACAAATTTAGTACAGCATAAATTCATAAAATAATAAATATAACAAAGAAAAACTACTATCAATGATAATGAATACTGATATGGATTCATATATTTTAAATGTTATCCGAGTCATTAAGAAGCTAGAAACAAAACAGTCTGCCATTTAAAAACACATAAAATTAACAAATTATGGCTGGCACTTGACATAAATATATATCATTAAAAAATATAGTGACAAATGTGTTAGGTTTAAAAGAAAAGTCTTACTTTACTTAAATGATGAATGATCATAGGAATTAAACCAGCATCAATAACAGCCTGAACTTGCTGCTGGTTACCAGCAGTTATATTAGATAGAAACCAAACAGCTTCCTTAAAAAAAAAAAAAAAAAAAAAAAAGCATTAATATACATACAAACTGAAAAAAACTACACATGCAGCAATGTCTACACGCTTGTTGACACCTGTTCTAAACTATTAGTTAACATTAGTGAGCCATCTTGCCTCTGCATACATATCATACATATCTGCTCTGCTGCAATCCGGCACTAATTACATAGCTTGGCATAGTCTGGATTTACTAGCACAATTTTAAATTCTATCATTGGCATGTTTTTCTTACAATCAGATCTTCATATCTGAATCATTCATTTAGTAAAGAAATAAGACATGAAAAATATTTCTTCTACTACATGAAAGATGTAAATATTTTAAATGTTACACATGGATACATCAATTTCATTCACTTTATAATTTGCTTTCACAAATGTATAAATAGCACACTGAAGCCAGATGCTTTTGAACCTGCTAGGTCTGATTTCATTAAATATTTCTGTACTCTGGTCGAACCAGGAAGCTTAAGTTAAAAAACTTCTTTCACATTATAGTCTCTTTTCCTTGGAAGCTAATTAAAATTGTGAAAATGTTAAAAAATATCCAAGTAATTTTCACTACATTAAAACTGTCCAAAATACTTTGACATCTTTTCTTTTACCTATTTAGAATTACTTCAGTAAGAAGAATTTTCACTTGTCAATTGTTTCACTAGTCAAAAACCTCAGTAGTTGTAAAGGTGCATTTCACATTTTTTCAGACACCAGAAAATTTGAACAAAAGTCCTGACACAACTGTCTTTACAAACGAAACAAACAAACACTTTAATAATTAAAAGAATTCAAAAATGCAATTAGATGTTTTAAAAATATTTTTAGGAGCAATGCAGGTAAACAGCTTCATACCTACACAGATAGAATGCTTTCCTATTTAATAAATATGAAAATTAGCTATTCGAACAGTAAGTACCTTTTGAGTTTTGTAAACTGACCCTTTACATAGGCTTGAATGTGGATACCCCTCCAAGAAGATATTGGATTATTATTAGAATTTGAAGAAATTAGCAGATAAAATATTTACCTTACAAATATTTTCAAGAAACTTGATATGAATGCATACAATTCATAGACCATTTTATTATTTATTAACATAAAATGGTAATCGTTAAAAAAGAGGGGGGCAACATATATGCACACTTACACTGCAATGCTTTTTTAACAATTCCACATCTCTACATAGCATTATGAGGAAATAGGTGTTAGTGAATATGATCATTAGTTATATTTGGTACTCATTTCCTCTGCCCAAAGAATCATTAATCTAATAAAATGAACCATTGCAGTCAGATTCATTTGATGTGATTCTCAGTTACTTTACTATCGTATTCAGGTATTATAAGTAATAGAATAACAAACCCAAAATGCTTGTATTTACAATCAGGCGAAAAAACATAATACAAAACTGAACTGCAAAGCACTTAATTTTGTAATGTAACAAAATTTCCTGGCCTGTATTATAAATATGACTGCTGTGCTTTTGCTTTTATGACAACAGCAATGATTAATCACTATATTAGGCTACACCACTTGAAAAAAATCTAGCTATTATATTACTCATAAAACAATTATGTTGCCTCGGCTGTGTCATCAACACATAAATATTTTTACTTAAATTAAAATGTAGTTTATTGCAAGAAAAACAGCCCTTGGCTAATGCTATTGCCAACGCTTTTGGACAAGTAATCCATTAACAGTAGTCTCAGGTATGGCAAAAATTGCATGCAGATTTTAAACTGGGAAGTATGCTTGCACTTCTTACACCCTGTGTAAGGATCAGCTGTATACTCTTTAGACTCTCTCACAGTGTTTCTACTGTAGATACCTTTCTTAAATTGCAATGGCTCATGGAAGAAAAACCATATTAAAAAAAAAAAAAAAAAGAGGTTAAAGTGAACATTTAAAAGCTACTGTAAAATCAAATTTGTGAACTAACAAGAATGAGAAGGAAAAAAAAAAAAAAAAAAAAAAATCTTGGAATTGGCAATGCGGCATAGAGGAAGATTCAGATAATTTTGCCAGTGTGATTAATAAGACTTACATTTAATAATTACAATTAATGCAGAAGCTTTTTAATGAGGTGACTGTCATAAGGTCTCCAAAAGCACTGAATTCTATCACATTTGCTATAAAGGCAACATCAGCAGGCAAAGCCAACCATATGCTGCAGGCCTGCAAACACCTGCAGTCAAACAAATAGTCAAGTTGTATTGGACAGTCAAACAAAAAACAAAGTGTACTTATCTGGACAGAACAAATGGCTTGTTTGGAGACTGACCCGATATGAGACAAATATGAACTTTGAATCAAAATGTCAATTCACTGAAAGTTTAGTAATGGTACTAAGAAGCCTTGACTATAAGTCCGAAGATCTTTAGTACATGAGAAACTGAATGCTGAGAAATATCAACATATGCTTGGAGAACAGAAAAAAATACATATTAGGTGAACAAGTTTTGATTTCAAACTTTGTATCTCATCTTACAAACTGGTTTCAATCTCAAAATGTTCATGTGATGACATAGCCACCACATCTACTTGATCTGAATTCTGTAGAGGAAGGGGGAAAAAAGACTGCAGGAATGATGGCTTAAATGAATATGCTTAAGCTAAGCAACACCTTTCCATAAAAATTTAATAAACTAAATACCGTAATTTCCGGAAGAAACACCGCGGCGTTTACGTTTTTAAAACTTAAATTTTTCAGCGGGTGTGGCGTTTAGGTGCACTAAAAATAAAATATTTCCTATGATGGTCATTGCACATAGTTAGGATGGCCTTGTCATTGTGCATAGACTGGTGCTGTTTCCACACAAAAGACCATTCAGTTGCTTTTTGCAAACGTTATTTTGTTTACATTCTTTCCCTTGAACGGACCTACATGCCTTATTCACCCTAAACGAGATCTCAGAACTATAACATTCTCCCCCCCTTTCAAATCAACATTTTCATCAGTTTGAATACCGTAATTTCCAGAAGAAACGCCGCATCAGCGTAAACGCCGCACTCGAGAAAAATGGCGGGAAAAAAATTAAATTACACAGAAACGCCGCAATAGATTCAATCGCGCGTGACATCGTCGTGGGCCGTATAGATGCAAAAACTCAACCTAAGTCCTGATATAACCAGTTAAGAAAAATGCATGAAATCAAACCATAACTAAAAAATAAATTAAAGGTAAAAAATGTATAGCTTCTGTGCCGTTTAGAGACATTTTCAAAAATTTTCCGCTCCCTAATTAAAAACTATCCAACAAGTACTTGTACTCAAACTGATGGGATCTGTATTTGGCAGAATGCCAAGAAAAATCCATTCATGCTGAAGGGGAAATATGTCAGAGTTCGTTATTGCGAGGCAGGTGGAGTCGTGTCCGCCTTTGAAAAAAATTGCAGAGAAGGCAGGGGTGGGGAGAGGATGGGTCCTGGAAGATTCATCGAATGGCAGAGGAGAGAGACTATTCAAACCGATGAGAATGTTGATTTGAAAGGGGGAAGAATGTTATTGTTCTGAGATCTCGTTTAGGGTGAATAAGGCATGTAGGTCCGTTCAAGGGAAAGAATGTAAACAAAATAACGTTCGCAAAAAGCAACTGAATGGTCTTTTGTGTGGAAACAGCACCAGTCTACGCACAATGAAGGCCATCCTAACTATGTACAATGACCATCATAGGAAATATTTTATTTTTAGTGCACCTAAACGCCACACCCGGTGAAAATTTAAGTTTTAAACACGTAAACGCCGCGGCGTTTCTTACGGAAATTACGGTAGTCTCTCTCCTCTGCCATTTGATGAATCTTCCAGGACCCATCCTCTCCCCACTCCTGCCTTTTCTGCAATTTTTTTCAAAGGAGGACACGACTCCACCTGCCTCGCAATAACAAACTCTGACATATTTCCCTTTCAGCATGAAAGGATTTTTCTTGGCGTTCTGCCAGATACAGATCCCATTAATTTGAGTACAAGTATTTGTTGGATAGTTTTTAAGTAAGAAGGGCAGCGGAAAAATTTTTGAAAATGGCACCTAAACGGCACAGAAGCTATACTGCTGGTTTTAAGCTTAATGTAATTTCACGTGCTGAACAAATTGGAAATCGAGCAGCAGCTCGAGAGTTTGAAGTGGACGAGAGATGTATTCGACGTTGGAGAACTGAAAAAGAACTTCTTAAAAATATGCCACAACAGAAACGAGCCAAAAGAAGTGGTACTGTAAGGTGGCCGAATCTAGAGGACGACCTTGCAAACTGGATAAAGGAGCAACGAGGAAAGAGAATGGCAATTTCGACTGTAAAAATTCGCTTACAAGCAAAATTTATAGCAAAACAAATGAACATAAATGATTTCAAAGGAGGTGTAGCAGATTTATGAAAAAAAAAAAAAAAAAAAAAAAAAAATATTTCTGTGCGTACTAGAACAGTTGGGCAACAATTACCAATGGACTGGCAGGATAAAAAGGCATCTTTTCTAAAGTATGTGACAGATATTATTGACAAAAAAAAAAAAAAAAAAAAAAAAAATTCTTCGGTCACACGTAATAAATATGGATGAAACGCCGTGAGCTTTCGACTCTCCTGCAAACAGAACTGTTGATGAAACTGGTGCAAAAACTGTATCTGTGCTTACGACGGGGCATGAAAAAACCTCATTTACATGTGTGTTAGCTTGTGCCGCAAACAGTAACAAGCTAATGCAATTGATCATTTTTAAACGAAAGACAGTTCTGAAGGGAGATTTTTCTAATGACGTAATTATTTGTGCAAACGAGAATGGCTGGATGTGCGAAACAATCATGCATGAGTGGCTACAAAAAGTTTGGCAGTGTCGTATAGGATCTTTTTCCAACCAAAAGGGTTATTGATAATGGATTCCATGCGTGCTCATTTGCTTGAGTCAGTGAAAACCAGATGTCAAAAATTGTCTACGACTGAAGCAATAATTCCTGGTGGTTTGACAAAAATCTTACAACCGTTAGATTTGTCAGGTAAT